GTACCAGCAGCAATAATAAAAGAATTAGAAAAGTTTTTTTTTTTTTCATCTAAGTATATCAAAATGTCACACTGCTGTCACTTTCTGATGTGTCATGTCAACTGACCGTTAGCACAATTTGACATGCCATTTAATATCTGAAGGGCACATTTTGTCCTGTCAGAGATCTTGATCACATGACTGGGAGACATTTTCACTAGGTTACTGAGCGAATATCATAACAAGGACCTGATCTTGATGAGCTCGGAAACCTTTTACCTGGGGAGCTGAGAGAGCATGCTGTCTTTTTCTTGCTGTCTTCATACGCTCTTGATTTATTACCACACGCTGGCGGTGATGTAACAGCACCTCAGCAGGTTATACGCGTGTTTGTGTGGCTGTGTATTTGAAGGTGGGGGGTCAAATAAAAACTGCATATTTATGAAGTTCAATTGCAGCCCCACCAGGCGAGGGTGAATCTTTGGCCTTAATTGTGTCTCATAAATATTGATAGGTTAAGATATGTTGGCGTTCCAACACATTTACACACAAGCAAAACAAGATCTTCATAATACTGCAAGTTCCTCACGTGTACCTTTCAGAGATGATCTCTTCTGGTGTTTGGTTTGGTTTTTCGTGCAAAATATCATTATTTTGTGTGTTCCACTGAAAAAAAATACAGGTCATACAGGTTAGGATTGGCATTTGGGTGAGTAAATTATGACAGAATTTTCATTTTTGGTTGACTAATGCCGAGTTCACACTGCATGATTTTCAAACTCGTCAGATCGCCGTTGTTTTCACACTGCGTGACTATCTGAGGTAGCAGTCAGTCGCTGCTGTGTTCACATTGCACGATGGATCGGCGACAGGAGGTTTCACATTGCATGACTTCACAATAGGAAGAATCGCCGACAGCTCTGTCTGGTCCGCAAACTACGTTTCACAACAAAACACACGCGAGAAGTGATAAGGAAATAACGCGAGAACCCTCGTGCGTCAGACCGGAGTTCTCGAGCAAGACTGGAATTATTAAAAAAATATATATGTAGCCCGCAAATTGTCTGTGAGCTGATTTCCAGCTACAAGGAGAAAAAGAAAAACAGATTATGCAGGAGGGGGATGCAGGGAACAGGGATTGGGTGTTCTGCAAAGAGTTGGAGGTAATTTTGCAGTAACTGTTATGCTGATGTTGTGGCTGGTCAAGCAAATGTTTGTGCTTGTTTCTGTATAATTATATAATTGTTCATATATCTATTAAAATACTGATATTCTGGTCTATAACTCCTCCCCGAACTTCCCTCTGCCCTGTATCTTGGTCTCTCATTGGCTGTAGGTCATCGCCGATGTAGTTTTCAGTCAGAAATCATTGAACACAGTGTGATTGTGAATCGTCGACAGCTCCAGATATTTAGCATGCCAAATATTTCACAGGCGTCGGCGACGCATCGGCGATTCCCTCAGATCGCGTCTTTGATAATTCACACTGCGTGATTGTCACTCGCGTGAACGAGCACCGATTTGCCTCCGATTTCGGGCATTTGTCGGCGATTTTGCAAAACCTGTCGAGTGAAAAAAGTGAAAAATCAGGCAGTGTGAACTCGGCATAACTCTTAAACCCAAGGTTGTTCTAGGGGAATTGGGTTGGAAGTCTCTGATTTTCAGAGAGTTTTGAGTTGATATTAGTGACAGTAGATGTTTATATTGCAACAAAGATTAACAGAATGTAATTATATGAATGTAATTAATGAGTGATGACTACCAGTAGGAGTGGAGACAGTAAATCGCCTTATGAAACAGTTGGATGCTACACTCAACTGCTAAGAACCAACAGTAAAGCAACTTGCCGGCATCTTAATAATTGTACATTTCTTGGAGTCGGTTAAGTGACTACTAACAGTACATACTGCTTACATACTGTAAATGCATTTACTTGCTGAAGTGTTATTCAGTGACTTTGGGGTTGTTGATGTCAGATGTCTGCATTTATCCACGACTTTCGTGAAGTAGAGCTGAAATCAACATGTCTCAATCGTCTCTGATCCTAAATCTGATGGTATTAGATGCTGTTACTCTATTTTGTCATTGAAAATGTTTAATCTTTAGTGCAGGAACATTTGGTTTTGAGCTCTGGATTTTGACACATGAGGTCTGGTGTTGCGTCAAGTCCAGTGTTTGACTCATCTTCCTCTTCCTTCACCTTTTCCTTAGTCAGGTTCTCCTGCAGTTGGTAATTTTCCACTCCAGGTGTTTTGTGTCCAGGTTTGGTGCTTTTTGGATGATTAGCTGTGCTTTGGTTGCCATGGAGATGCCGAGTACTTGAAGACCAGCATACGCTGGATGGTTCTTTCTTGGCTCTTGACTCTTGATTGCTTTGTAGAATCTTCCAGCTCCTGCGAGGATGCTGCCCAGATGTTTCTGTAAGATGGGTTCTGTTTTGCCTGTGCAAACGTACATGTTTTTCCTCAGCTCTTCAGCTGTGTGTTCTTTGCGGCTGTGCACACATTTACTTTAGCATACATTTACTTCTCTATAAAGTCTCAAGGCTTTGATCAGCAGAACGGAGCAGTTTGCTCAGGGCCTGTGAGGAGACGTTTACTTCATTCTCGATTTTGTCGATGTAGATCCTGGGACAACGGTTGTCACTTTAAAGCAGTTCTACAGCCCTCATAGTGTCCAAATTACACTCACAACGCCCACACACATTGGCATTCTGCTGTTGAGAAGTCAGCCTACATCTTTTCAAAGTTTTTTTGACTTGTGTCTGTTGGCAGTCAAACTTTTTTTTTTCTGGTTCTTAAACCCCATCTGACAGTCTTTTAGAAAAACTTGCTGCTATCTTGTTTTTATTCTGCAGATTTTTGCAAAATTCAGAAACCACTTTGAAATTGTCAGGTTTTCCTCTGGATTTTTGCAAAATTCAGAAACCACTTTGAAATTGTCAGGTTTTCCTCTGGATTTTTGCAAAATTCAGAAACCACTTTGAAATTGTCAGGTTTTCCTCTGGATTTTTGCAAAATTCAGAAACCACTTTGAAATTGTCAGGTTTTCCTCTGGTTTTCATGTTAAAATGTAAACAGACATTTAATAAGCCGGTAAGGGAGTCTGTATTCCAATGCAACATCGGTCATTGTGCCAGTTGGGTTGTGCTTAAACCATTTATGATCAATCCATACCACATATTTTTCCACATGTGTAAAATCCGAAAAATACTGCAATGCTTCCACGTGGGCTTTTAACTTTTGAATGAACCTAAATGCGTAAACATATCTTATGCTTTGCCTGCATCTCACTGCAGTCACATACTGCATGTAGTTTGAATCATATTGTGGTTTTAGATACTCTTTGTAACAGCTTTGTTATTGTTAACTTAATCTAAAATGTTTAAAAATCATATTTGTTAATTTGTTAAAGGGTTAGTTCACCCAAAAAATGAAAATTCTGTCATTAATTACTCACCCTCATGTCGTTCGGAACACAAATTACAATATTTTTGATGAAATCCGAGAGCTTTCTGACCCTGCATAGACAGTAAGGGATCTACCACATTCAAGGCCCAGAAAGATAGTAAGGACATCGTTAAAATTGTCCATGTGACATCAGTGGTTCAACTGTAATTTTAAGAAGCTATGAGATGACTTTTTGTGCACAAAGAAAACAAAAATAATTGCTTTATTCAACAATTCTTCTCTTCCTTGTCAGCGTTCGCCACCATTCATGAGAGTAACATGATGCAAGTGTGTGGTGCTGCTGACGTAGAACACGCATGTGTTGTGCCTTGTTTACGAGCAGAGGAATGCACACATATGCATCATGGTACTCTCGTGAATGGTGGCGAACGCTGATAAGGAAGAGAATAATTGTTGAATAAAGTTGTTATTTTTCTTTTCTTTGCATACAAAAAGTATTCTCATAGCGAGTATGAACCACTGAGGTCACATGGATGTCCTTAGTATGTTTCTGGGCCGTGAACGTAGTAGTTCCTTTGCTGTCTATGCAGGGTCTGAAAGCTCTCGGATTTCATAAAAAAAACATCTTAACTTCTGTTCCGAAGATGAATGAAGATCTTACGGCTTTGGAATGACATGAGGGTGAGTAATTAATGACAGAATTTTCATTTTTGGGTGAACTATCCCTTTAATATAAATATTAGATGGAAAAGTTAAACTTTATAAACTTAAAAGAAAATCAGAAATATTGCCAAAGCAACTATCTGAAATAAGTTTAAGATGAAGTAAAATAAAAGCTAAATAGCTTTAATAGCTAAATGCTTGGTATTGGATGCCTCTAGTGTGCGCATATTTCATGCACAGATACATGCAGTGCACTGTAGATTAGTCATTCTGGAAGCTGTTTCCAGGACCAATTGTGTATGACATCATCGTTCTTAAATCACTGATTCCTGTTACCCTGTATGACTCCAGAATTAAGTGTCTCATTATAGGACGATTTTAAATTGGTCTGTCTCTGTATACCCAGTGCCAGTTCATAACGTCTTTTTGTGCCAAAATGGTTGTAAATGCTTGCCCTCGCATTCCTCATAGATCATTATGTCGTGTGGTTAATTCCCAGCTGTAGATGTATGTCTTTAGCTTAGCGGGGGGTGGGGGGAGGTGATTGTGTCATAGACTGTCAGCAGCAGACAGTTATTACGCCCAAATGCCCCCATCTACTCTAGCGAGATTGAAACTAGCACGGTTAAGTCAAGTGGAACGGAGGGGAGGCAGGAACCAAGAATCTAGAGCAATGGCACGTCGGGGGGAACTTAAAATGAACACACAGAGAAGGAGATATTTCAACCAAGATATTAAACAAACATTAAGAGAAAGATTATATACAGTGGAACAAATGATATTTAATTAGATTCATGTTTCACATGTTTATAGTTGATATGATTTTTAAACCTCAGGCAATACTGTAATTACCTTTTATTGTGTTCGATAGTGTTGGTATGCATGTTTTACTGTCAGCAGTTAATGATATCTGTCTTTCTGCCTCTGTCTCTCTCTCTCTCTCTGTAGGGAACTAATGAGCAAATCGCAATAGAAGCACATGTTGCACTAACATCAGGATGAAGTTCTTCACCGCACAGTGTCAGCAGGCCTCTTCTGTGCTCCACTGAGGATACGCACACCCTTGCTTCCGCAAAGCCCTTAACTTCGGCATCGCTGGGGTGCCCTGAAACTCTTCGCCCTTGCCTGTTTCATATCTGTCACCCATTGCTGGGCTGCCACTCACCCCAGCTGAAGCATGTCATCGGTGGGTGTGGAACGATCACGGCGGGAGACCGCCCGCTCCTGCCCGCACCGCATATCTGACACTTGCCTGGTGTGGCTGCTGGGCTTGGCACTGCGCTTGGCGCTGTCCTCCTGCCAGCGGGCAGACCTCACCGCCGCCAAGCACCCTATGGTCACCACAGGCTATGGGAAGCTTCGGGGTGTACGCAAGGAACTGAACAATGAGATTCTGGGTCCGGTCGAGCAGTACTTGGGCGTCCCCTACGCCACCCCGCCAGTAGGCGAGAGGCGCTTCCAGCCCCCGGAGGCACCAGGCTCCTGGCAGGAGATCCGTAATGCTACCCAGTTTGCACCAGTGTGCCCGCAGAACATCCATGGGGCGCTGCCAGAGATCATGCTTCCCGTATGGTTCACCGACAACCTGGATGCTGCTGCGGCTTATGTACAGAACCAGAGCGAGGACTGCCTTTACCTCAACGTCTACGTTCCCACAGAGGACGGTAAGTTTCGTAAGCCCACATAGGTTAATCTATGGTACATTTATGTTCCATTCATGTTCATTCGCACTTTAAACATATCTTCACACACACAAAAAACATAGCATGTTCATCCTCCTCAGCCCAGTTCTGGTGATTGGGGGACTAATCATCACCTGCATTCATCTGGAGTGATTCTGTCCTTTTCTAGAGCTTACTGTAGTGGTCTGGGGTACAAAGAGATTATGGGATGTAAAACAGAAGATTCAAACTCATTTACAACCATTACACCTCCAAATAAGACACTTTCTTCATAACCCGTTCTCCGGATAACCTTGGGATCCTTCTCTTTTTGTTCTCCCATAAAAGAAGCAAATCTTTTGCTTGTGATCGCATATAGGGTTTAAGTTAGATTACTTGGATTTAGTGCATACAAAGCGGCAGTTGCCAGATCTAAAGAGAGCAAGAACTCCTGTGAGCGCAAGAGATATTTAACATGCTCCAGTCAGTGATTGTTACTGAAACTGCATGGGCAACAATCTGAGCATGTGCTAAAGTCTCTGATAAATGGGCCTCGCTGCAGTTGTAAATGGGTTGTGCAGAGACTGCTGGGTAATGTCTCACTGTGCCAGCTCTCAAAATGGGTTGTCATAGTCATGGGAGTGTGGCAGGCAATGCGTGTTTGTTTGAGAGATGAACGCTCTTCAATGATGAAACCATATGCACAGGAGGGCTTCTAATGCTAATAGCACTTTTGTGTTTTAGCAACTCTGTGTACTCTTTGAGTGTGTTAATGTGCCTGTCCATTACAGTGAGTCAGTAAATCAGTCTTACTTAATTTGTAGATATACATTTACTAAGTGCTGTAGATTGCAGTTGGATGATGCATCCGTTCTAGGATTTCAGTCTTCGAGCAGCTCAAATGATGTGGCTCAGAGAAATACTTTTTGCCAAGTGATCACAGGTTTGAATCTTGCTCTAGCTTTTTAAAATAAAATAGGTTGTCAGGTTACACTTTGTTTTGATAGTCCACTTTAGACATTCTACTAACTATAAGTAACTTTGCAACTACATGCCAGCTAACTCTCATTAGAGTATTAGTATACTGTTAGGTTAGGGTTAGGGTTAGTCTTAGGCTTAACAGACTAAGTTGTTAAAAGACGAATAAGATGATATGTAGTTTCAAAGTTACTTTCCAGTAGACTGTGTGTTAAGAGACCATCAAAATAAAGTGTTAGAAGATATTAACCAAACAGTCTACTAATACTCTAATGACTAATAGTTGATATGTAGTTGCAAAGTTGCTTAGAATTAGTAGAATGTCTAAAGTGGACTATCAGTGGACTATATCTAAATCAGACCACGACATGTTTGTTTGCGTTTCGATTTGTGATTTCATTGGGACAGAGAGCATATTGAAATAAAAAAGTAACATGTTTAGTTATTATTGTTCAATTCTCAGCATAATATCCTCATCATTTAAGTATGAGTAACATAGTTGAATTTTGAAGTCTCCATTTGCTCTCCATTTAATCTTGTTGCTGTCTAGGAGAAGAAATTAAGACATTAAAATATCTCATTTGTGTGTTTTCTTTCCTACCAGCTTTCTTTCCAGTTTTTCAGCTGTAGATCAACATGTGAAAATTAAAAATAAGAATGAATGAGATATATAATTAGTGAGTAATCTGGATCTAAGAGAATTTTCACACATTAAACTTGGAAACATCTAAAAGTGCATGTGTTATTTACACACAAGTTCAAAGAATCAGCTTCTGCGAACGGAAGTAGATTTTTTCCCTAATAAGATATAATAAGAAAATCTGGGCCACATAACAAGAGAAGATATTTTTTCATAATTAAGAAGATGAATTGCATGTACACACAAGGGAATCTGTGATTGTATTGATATAGTTGCAGTATTTTTTTTTACAGACAGCAATGCAGTGGGTCTGCAGTGTGCATGCAGAAAAAAAATTACCTCATTGAAAGTGTGTAAATTCTTCAGATGTGACTTCAATGCCACTTTTGCAGTGTTAAGATTGGTCTACAACACTAAAAAAACACCCAAACCCTCTTTTTCACAGCAACCCCGAGAAACAGTTTTCCACAGTAAGTGATTAATGCATCTGACAGTGTTGTGGAGGTGTACACGTTCTCCACACTCATCGCTTCCCATGTTTATGTGTGCCAAGCACCGCTGCGTTGCTAGTGAGTCTTATCAAAAAATCGTCCAGCACACACTCATTGATGGGGATTCCTACACAATCACTGCGCTGAGAATCATTCACAGGTTTGGGAGGGATTTAATGGATCTGGACTTTCACTCCATTTCAGTTTAACATTTGGTGCGTGTTTAGTGTGGGACTTTTGGGCATGTTGGTGAGGATGTGAGTGTAGTTTACAGCCAAATGGTTAGAAGGCACTGTAATTATCTCATCTATCTCTCCTTCTCGCTCGTTCACTCTCTTTCTCAGGTTTTTCCGAAATTGTTGAAGAAACCACAAATGTGATGATCCTTTTGCAAAGGATCTCCTTCCTAAAACCCATTTATGCTGAGTGTTAAAAATTAGTATGCATGATATTATAAACAAAAATGGTTGCCTTTTATTTAGCGTTCTACTAAAAATATTGTGATTACTACAATTTATTATATTATATAGAAAACTCAGCATTCATTTTAATTCAGATTTTTTTTTACATTTTTATTCTGATTCTGAGCTGGCAATATGCATTGCATAGACAGACAGATAGATAATCATAAATTTCAAATGACAAGCATCTTCTCACCTCTAATCTTCTTTTGTATTAGAACATAAAAGTGATCACTCTCTCTATGAATTTGAAATTGAACAAATTAAACATCAGCCACAATTGGTTCAGTCAGTTTATGTGATTAAAGCTTCATTGGAAATGCCAATATTGTTTCATTTTTATTACAATGCTTGCCAGGCTGCATTATATTGATATTCCTAAATATTTTGTGAGGAATTCTCGCACAGTTTATTGCTTCTGCTGAGAGTGCTGTTTATTTGCTCATTCTGGTTCCTTTGTTTAGCACCAGATGAGGCAAATGTTTTGTTTGTTAGTCTATTTTTATCCCTCTCTTCCCATTTCTGCATTTTCAACTCAGATCACTTAATATATAGACTTCATACAAATTTGTTGAATGAATTTAAAGTATCTTGCATGCATGTGCATCATTTCAATAAGTGTTTTTTTAAGTAATTTTATTAAAAAATCTTCCATCTGTACATTGTTAAAATGTTCAAAAATCAGGCATGTGGCATTTGACTCTGAAAAAAGGTGAGGTGTGACTGCGCTTCAGAAGCAGAGGTGGGGCCGTTTCTTGGTCACGTCAGGGGAAATTTGATTTCACCCAGACGTGTTTCATCAAGCAGATTGAAGCGTAACGCTCACTTCTCTTCATTCAAGGCTGCGCTCCAAATAAAAAAATCCCTTTAATACAATCAATAAGGTACGCAGCTAAACAAAAGGATGGTAACAGTTCAATAGTCAGTTGAAGCTTGGCAGCATTATATAAATGTAGATACGCTTAGAGGCTCTGCAGGTTGGGAGAATGTTGCTTTTGGGGTGTAGGGATGTTGGTGAAGGTAAATAAATAAATAACCTGTTGGTCGACGCTGCAGAAGAACTATGGTGTCAATAGCTTTCGATGCAAGAACAAACCTCAAACAAATGCTGCTATTTCTGCTATCCTAGCAGCCCTTAATCGGGTGAAAATTGGATCAGGATTCTTCTGCGGGGGAACGAGAGATGGAGAGAAAGAAAGAGAGAGGCAGCAAAGGAGAGTGTGTGTATATAAGATGCATACACTCCTATTGTCTTCTCATTCTCATCTAATTGGCACAAATATATAAGATTTGCTCTGTTGTTTGTTTGAAAGGAGAGGTTTCTGCCACTGTGGGTCTGCTGGTAAGGCTGTGTGTGATAGAGATGCTGAATTATGGCCCGCGCTGATCAATATTCAATCAATGATGCTGGTGATTGATGACCCGGCCGTGACACACAAGCATATGTGCACTGGCCATGCTCTCCACACCCCTCATTACCATTCTAACGCAGAGTTTTTCAATGAACACATTCAGTATGTACAAAATATCTTGAAATTATATCCCAGTAAATGTCAGAATCACACAGCAATTTCATAGAGACGGCATTTCTTATATAATGACAGGGAATCTGTTGTATCTACAGTTAGTGATCAGGTTTCAATTTAAAAACAATCCAGGAAAGACAGAAAAATGGCAAATTAGATCTCTTTGAATGAGCACTCAGTCATTTTTGATAAATTGATGTACACTGTCATATCAGTATCCAAAAATTAAAGCTAAAATAATTCAGTTGTCAAAAGAACAAATTTTTATTTTTAAAAATCATGCAAAACAATATTATGGTTGATAATATTTCTAATATTTATGATGGATAAATGTTATTAATTCACCCACATTGACAGCTGTGGGAAAAGTTATTTTTGGACCCTGCACCAGTTATTATAATAGACAAGAATTTGACTATTGAAAAGATTGATTGTAATGCTAAAACTGACTAAAACTATCTCATCTAACTATTCCAAAACCAAACTATTGTATATCAAAAACATGAAGCAAAAATGTACATATTCCACTCTCATTCATATTTTATGTCATTACTGTACAGATGTCTCATGTGCTTCTATTTTTATTTTTTTCCCAGTGACATTATTAAAGTGAATATGGATTCTTGTATAGAAATTAATGGAGCTTTTATCATGGTGGTTATAAATATTGAAATCCTGTCTTTTATATACATGAGACAATCGCCAGTTTACTCTAGAATGCAATAGCGTGCATGTTAGCTGGACCAGCCTGAAAAATAGTCGTTTTTAGCTTTTAAAGCTAAAAAGGCTATATTATCATATTGTTGTCAGATTTTATTATTGGTTATTGAAACTTAATCTTGCCTAAATCAGATTTCAGTCTATCTACATTGTACAGCTACTAGAGAACAGCTTCCTGGGGCTGTTA